ATGAATTTCATATCTCAGCTAAAGACTTGGCATTTAATTAAAGTGCTAAAAAATAGCTGCTTGGTCGACTGACAATATGAACTCTAGAAATGGATTAGGGAAATGAATTATTAGCTTCCAACAACAGAAAGAGAATGACAGAGCTGCTCAGGGCAACTACGAGGTGAAGCTTAACAGGAGGGTGGTTATGAGATCTCACAGCTGTTCATGACAGCTGCCAAAACAATCCTGTTTTGGCTTGTTGGAGGGCATCTATAACCTCAATCTTCTACAAGAACTAGAACTGAATGAAAATTCAATTGAAATTGAAAAGTACACTACAAAACCTCCCTGTTGCTAAAACTATTTCTGAGAAAGGCAGCAAAGAGGCAGGGCTGATAAAAGCAGAGTGTTCTGTTCCAGTGTGAAAGCTAGTTGTAACTGATGATAATACCTCTTAAATCTTTAATCGCTGTTGTTCTGTTACCAAGCTAGACCCAAAGGTGAGGGTCTCTTGCTTATTGTTTTTTTTTACATCTCAGTGTGAGACTTTACTCTTTAAGAAATGTATACCATTCCCAGTGTCTTTTCCATTGCACTAGAATTTCCTAAGAAGACAGTTCATCAATTTCAATGAAGTTCCTACATGCCAGACCTCTATAAATAACCTTGTCAGTTTTGCACTCTAGCTGCTGTAGATCATACTTTCCAATTGGTACCAAACAGGAGTCTTAAACTGGTCCTCGTGATGATATGTTAAGGTCACAACGGAGTTAGCAAAAAACCTACACAGAGGCAAGTGAGTGCAACATACATTGCAATGTGTCTTTCAATTAAAGATTTTATAGCCCTCTAAGTGAAACCACAATTTAATGCATTTTGGCATCCAAACATATTAGGAAACAAGCAATAAGACACATGGAAATCTCCGGAAGCAAAGATTTAAGCCAAGCTAAAAGTTCAGACATGGTATCATCTACTCACATTTATAGCTTCTAATGACAGACCTAAAGAATAATTAGCATGGCTAAGATGAATTATTATTCTATTATTTAGTTATTTATTAAGTTATTTCAGCAATCTCCAATATAATATCAAGATTGGTATGGTAAGTGTAGATACAGTCACAGGGAGGCAGGCTTACAGAAAGATATAATGTAATGACCATAATAATCATTATACCATTAAATTTCCCTCAATGTTGTCACAGAGGAGCCTGTCACGAGGTACAGGTAGCACAGGAAATACACTATTTATACACGTTCTGTAGAACATTTGCTAGATAAGTTCCTGAGGGTGCACACTCAGGGCTTGACTAATAACTGTTATTACTTAATTTCACATACATTCACATACATAAAACACATACTTAAACACAGGAATGAGTGAGTATTGTGGTGTGAATGGAAAGCGCACTCAAAATGGATGATACTCACTGTTTGTTTGGTTTTGGTACTTCCAGGTTGGGTCAGCCTATCATGGCCTCAGAAGGCCAAACCTAACCCCACTTCTCAAGGTTTATTTATGGGGATGGGAAAAACCACATGCATGTGAATTAGAGAAATGGTTTGTTCCAGAGGGGGAGGGGCTTACATGCTATTTAAGATGGCTCCTCAGCCTAAGAGCGTTGTTGTTGGTGGTGGTTGGTGAGTATGGTAGTGTGACTAAACACTGAAAGAAAGCAATAAGAAAAGGAGGATTTATCTTTATTTGAAGAATTATTTTTGTTCCTTTTTGGGATTTTGTTTTTCTGGTGTAGGGGACTGGGAGCACTGTAAATAAACTGCACTTATTTCACTTGAGTGCTTTGCGGCAGAGCCAATCTTTTCTAAAACGGACCCACTTTGGCCTTCCTCGGGCCATTGTGTGACAAATGTCATAAGATTCATCAATATAAAGTGCTCGCTGTAGATGACAGCAAAACAGCAGGCCAGTAGGTGGAACCAGAAGCAAAGATGAAAAACTATAGAAAGATATCCATATCTATCCTAAGTCAATTATCCCTACCAATATGTTTACCGACAACACGTTTCTATTGGTGTTGACAGTGTCAAACAATACAATACATATAGTAGAGTAATGAACCCTAGAAGCAAATATGATTGATTGATTTCTGTTATTAATCTAGAAAAATACAGTTGTCCTTTCCCTGCCTCACTTAAAAACCTGCCTCTAGAGCAGGGTTCTCAAACATGCAACCCACAACGGCTTACATGGATTAACAAAAAGTTACCAATAAAATTCAGTCGTTTTGGTCATTTGATAAATTTTCTTGTTCTATTCATTTTCTGTTTCAATACTGTAAATTGCCATGGAAATATTGTAGCACCCTTGCCAGGAAGCGGAGGCGCACCCGACTAATGCAAGTGCCTGCAGGCTGGAAACTGTAGTCGGGAAATGGTCTGAGGGTTTGCAGAGTGACCACTAGGTTACCTTACTTATGTGAATAGTGACTATAAAACCTAATGTCAACAGTAGTTCATTGTTTACTCCTGTTTTGTCCCTTGTCTTGTAAGTACCCTAACCCTGCCTATGTGTCCTATTCACAGCCCTTGTGAGTGCATTAAGCTGAGGAGCTGATGTGTACGTCTCTGTTACCTGATTGCCAGCTGACAGGAGTGCTATCAATAAAGAAAGACAGAAAGGTTTAAGAGTCTCTGCGTCTGCTAGAATCTTAGTAAAGTTTGGCGGTACACATGTGAACAGATTTTTATGTCAATGAAGATCAACAAGTCAGTTTTACGGTCAAGGCTCACTTATAAACATTTAAGAACAACATTGTGGTTGGCTACATCACATGATATCAGGTCTAATGTTGACATTCTGGTCTATGCAAAACACTGTAAACAAAGCCAGCTAGAATGAAGAACTTCAGAAATAATCTCACATGATGTCGAGAATATTGAGTAAAGTTTTTTATGTTTCAAATAAAAAAATCAGTTTCAAGTAATTTTTTCATATATGATGCATTTTGTATGTGTATGAATGTGGCCCACCAATTAGCGCATTTTATCTGATGCGGCCCCCATATTCATCTGAGTTTGAGACCCCTGCTCTAGAGCATTTAACAGCCTTCTGGGGGCTTGACTGAGTTAAAGGTTACTACAGGATGATATGAACTGAACCAATGCCAAATATAAGTTAATGAATATAATAGAGTATAATGAGTTCTTATAACCTCTTTATCTTATCTTTCAAAAGATAACATGTCTTCTTTGAACCTAAATCAAGGACAGAAAAAAAGTATGTTTGTCCATGGGGCATCTGATGGGCATTGATAATGGCACATCATAAAACATAGACAAAGCAGGCAGTGAGACGCATTAGGTGGTTACCCCCACCAACAGGAAACCATGCAAGATGCAGTTACAGCCGTTTTCTTTAGAACTTTTACTGAATATTTTTATTTTATAATCTCCCCATTAAAATACTTTATTATGATGGGTTTTAATTTAAGACAACAAAGATGAGAGCGAATTTCCAACCACCAATAACCTTGCAGTTACAGTCTTTTGGGATTTTGAAAAATACCCACATTAACTCTGGATGAGCACATCTGTTTTTCATGATTTCTACCAGTTACAAATGCACACACAAATATGGTTGAAATCTTTCACATTTTAAATAAATCATCTACAGTCAATTGCTTTCTTATTGGAAAAGTGATGCACTCATCCAAGGTCAATTAAACAAATTTATTTGAAACTATAAAATACAGATGTACATTCGAGTGAAAATTCAAAGATAATTCACTCTCAACTTGTTTTGTCAACATCACCAAGACAGAGGGATGGATTACAAAAATAGGGAAATTCTTAAATGGAACAACTTCTCTTATACCATATCCTGCAAGAAATGTGCAACAGAATTCTGTGACTATAGTTATCCCTGTGACCTGACTAGTGAACCTGCTCTCAGCTCACTTCATATTTTGGGCTGCTGAGAACAGGAAGATCAATTCTTTAAAAAAAATTTTTCAGACAGCAGCAGAAACATTCATTGACTCACCAAACTTCAAATGTCCGCTGTTTATCTGTTTAAATTCATCATTTCAGCTGAACACAAGGAATTGCTTCAAAGTTGGATAGCCAGAACTTTGTTCATACACTTGAAGCTTTCAGGTTCTAGGCATTTGTTTCATACAGCTTTTTCGTTTAATTGTTTTAAACCTCAACAATAATTGCAGTTGTTTTTGCTACTAGTTTATCTAAAGAGTTCATTTTTTCATTATTTAAGGCTTCCAGGGAGTGGAAAAAATTCTTAGGATAACTGGTCTACCTAGTAACTTTGTTCTAAAGACATATACTAGGACAGATTTTCCATTACATTTTAGACATATAAAAGAGTCGACCACATAGGTGGCCTGTTCAGTGAATTCAAAAACCCTTTTCTTAAAAGGCACAGAAAGTATTTTACCAAATAGCTCCAAACATGGTAGTTTGAAACATGCAGGGAAGCCTAAGAAACTGTTTGCAGTGTTTCACGTATTAGGAGTGCTTTTTGTTTTAAATTCTCACATGTACACCATATTTTCTAATTTTTCATAACACAGCAATACTGTTATAAAGAATAAAGTTATAAACATATTCCTAGACAGGGTTTGGACAGAACTATCAAAACAAAAGACTACCAGCAGAAGTGGACTAATATGTGTTTGGCATGAGAGAATATTTTCAGAACATATTTAAATATTAAAATATGATTTAGCATAACTGTGTTAAATGCATCAGCATGCTACTTTCATGCGGTATCATTTTGATTTTGATTTTGTTCTTGTCACCATCTTTATATGGCAGAAAATCAAAGAATAATCATTTAGTCAAAAAGCAATTGTTTAGAGAACAATAATTGAAATAAGAAAAAACAATCACTTAAACGAGCCAATGAAGCAAAAAAAAAATCTGCTGAACAATTGCAATCTGGCAAAGGAGATAAACTTTGTGATTAGATAAGCAGGAAAACTTTGCTCATCATAAGCCATGTGCATAGGAGCAGTGCGCTCAGAGGGCTGCAAGGAAGAAGCAGTGTGTGCAGCTGGCAGTGTGCTGATCATGGTGTCGATGCTGTCTGTGTGCTTCCTGCTGGCGTCTCTGGCCCTCAGAGCTCCACTGAGCAGCACTGCTCCCTGTTGTCGAAACAAGCTGCTGCTCATCTCTTTCGATGGTTTCCGATGGGATTATGACCAGGATGTGGACACGCCAAATTTGGACGCCATGGCACAGGATGGGATCAAAGCCACATATGCCACACCACCGTTCATCTCCATCACCAGCCCTTCACACTTCACTTTGATTACAGGTGACCTCATTGCTTATTAAACCGTTTTCCTTTATCACCTTAATTCCCCAGGGGAACTCTTCTTTGTTGAGAAATGCTTATTGTAGTGGGGGTGGCATGGTGGTGGTTAGCATTGGTGTTAGCTGCATGGAGTTTTTATGTTTCTCTGTGTTTGCGTTCCTCCGAGTGCTCTGGTTTTATCCTGCAGTCATGTTTGCAGTCACATATACTGGTAAGTTAACTGGCTTCTGAGAAAGTTGGCCCTGGTGAGAAAGTGTGTGTCTGAGTTTGTGTTTATCTGATGCTCAACTGACTGGACTGGCATCCTGTCCAGAGTTTATCCCACCATGCATCTGTTGCTTGCCAAGATTGGCTGCGACCCTCATTTGGATAAAGTGATTATAAAATGGATGGATGGATAGATGGATAGATAGATGGTTGCTTATTGTTGCAGTCATGAACTAATATTCCTCTTTTAACAACTGCCCTACAGCAAATAGCCATTGCCATATCTCCTAAGCTGTAAAATTTAGTACAATTTTACTTTTTTCAGGGAAGTATGTGGAGAACCATGGTGTGATTCACAACATGTGGTTTAACACAACCACCGGAGAGAAAAAGCCATACTACATGACTCAGTTTGTTAATGAATGGTGGGACAATGGCAGTGTACCTATCTGGATCACAGCACAAAGACAGGTAAAGAATGTGTACAGTATTGCTAAAAATGTCACAAAAAAGCCACAGTGGAGTACAAATCCTGTAAACTAAGCTTCAGATAATGCAATCTAGTCTAGTTTTGAACTTAAGTAATAGTAATTGAAAGGGTACAAAGATCTCTTTCCTAATTTGAATAATTTAGGTGATTTCAGGATATGGTAGCTTTGGGAAAAAAGAAAACAAGATATTTTAGACAAACGAGTAATTTAAAAAACTGTTCTGTTCTGTTAACAAGAGTGCTTGTTATGAAGAACAAGCCAAGTTAAAATGAACCCTACCTCAGCTATCTTGATTTAGTTAAGTGTTCATGACAGGCTAGCTTGAAAAACAGGGTGAAGTGCCCTGTCATGGATTTATAGTTTAGAGGTTACAATTTCTATATCAGTGTTAGAATATTGCCGATGAATCATTGATACCTACTCTATGATGACGACGAGTTGCGAGTTAAAAGTTATCTACTGGACTATGATTTAATGACGTATATCAGCATTGCTTAAATGTTCAACTATCAGTTTTTCTAATAGAATATAGTAGTTGAATGAATAGCACACTGGTAGCAATTACAAAACAACAGTCCTGACATGAGCAGAACTTCTGAAAAATAGGTTCTGACAAATGGTCCTTGCATGCATGAGAGAAAACATGTTTCTTCCAAAGCATTCTGAAAAATAGCATTGCCATGTCCTCTCTCTGTGTCTCACTCTGGCGATGTGCATGATGTCCTCCACCCAGGGTCTGAAGGCAGGTTCGCTCCATTTCCCTGGAACTGCTGCCACCTACCAGGGTGAGAAGGCCCATCTGAGTGAGGTGGAGCCACGTTTCTATGACTATTCCAATGAGACTCAATGGCGGGAGAACGTGGACAAGGTGATGGACTGGTTCACGGTACAGCACCTGGACTTCGTGGCACTGTATTTCGGAGAGCCCGATAGCACCGGACACAAATACGGACCTGACTCCCCCCAGAGAAGGAACATGGTAAAGCAGGTCGACCGTACTGTGGGGTACATACGCAGCGTTGTTGACCAGCGCAGCCTCACGGACCACCTTAACATCATCATCACTGCCGACCACGGAATGAGCACTGTCCACAGAGCACCAGTGGTCCAAGAGATCACCCTCTCCAAGATCCCAGGATTTTCCTTCAAGGACCTCCAGTTCCACATTGTGGATTACGGCCCTGCCAGCCTTCTGCTCCCCAAGGAAGGCCTGCTGGATAAGGTCTATAATGCCCTGAAGAACGCACACCCAAAACTGCATGTGTATAAGAAGGAGGAAATGCCCAGGCGACTGCACTACTCCAAAAACTCCCGCATTCTGCCCCTGTTTCTATATGCAGATCCAGGATATGTCATAAATGGGGTGAGTATGCTAAAAATTCTTCTACCTTCTTCACACTGGCAACAACTTGTACAATTATAGTGCAAACATGAAGTTCTCAGATTAGCACCCACATCCATGCATTGCTTGCCTTTACTAACCTCTTTATAATTCCAACAGGAGGGCAGAGATTTTTCTTTGTTTGCATTATGAGTTTACAGTCTGAGACTGATAATGGAAAATTTTCATATCTCTCTGGGGCTCCTGGAAACTAAAGGGAGTGATTTTGTTTTCATCTCACTCCCAGTGGCAAGTGAAAACAGACTATTAATCCCGTAACAAGCAACTGCATTTTATCAACTCAGTCCCTGCTGGGATATAGCGAGGAAATCACCATACATTCATGCAAACACTATTCTGGGGTTTTCTTGAAATGACTAGTATGAAGTATTAAAAATAAGGGAGTCCCTGTTGTTTTGAAAAACCATACTGTATATGACTTTTTTCCTATCACTGTTATATAAGTGTTAATGTCTGGTAGAAAGCACAATCATCTTGGCAGCTTGCGTCTTTGAGGAAAAAATTACTACATATTTAGAAAACTATATGTTGATAAGATTGAATTGAAGGGTAACTATTGCCATCCCTAGTACTGTTGTACTCTACATTAAAAAAGATTCCCTTAGGACAGAAGTACAATCAGGTGCTAGTTTTTTTTTTATATATACAACTGGTAAGCATGTGGACTGAGAAAAGGTTACATTAAAAATAAAAATTATAGATCTGGGCTGAAAGCTCATATTGGGTGGTAGCACAGTCTGTACTAAAACCACTTTTCTTCCTAATTTATGTCAATGATCTAGATTCAGGTATAGCTGGTAAACTAGACAGGTTTACAGGCCACACCAAAATAAGAGGAATAGCAGATGCTATTGAAGCAGGAAATAAAAATTCAAAAGATCTTGATAACATTCAAGAAATGCAGAGTATTATCTGTAGGTAGTAGACATATAACTACAAATTCAAAATAGGAAGTGCAGTGTTTAAAGAGGCTGCTTATGAAAAAGCTGGAGATAATATGTTCACATCATTTATATCCTCTAAACAACGTGAGAAGGCAATAAAAGGGCAAAGAAGTTAAAATGGTAGATTTTAAATCAAGGGATATACTGTCCAATGTACTAACAGAGTCTTATTCAGAATATTATGTACAATTTAAGTTACCGTTATAGAAAATATCTTTCTGGTCTGCCATCAGTCCAGAGAATATATTAGCCACCAGATATATTCTGGGATTTAAGAGAATATCCTATACTCATAGACTGAAGAAGCTGAATCAGTTTAGTCTTAAACAGAGATAACTATGAGGGAATCTGTGAAAATCCTAATTCAAAATCATCAAAGGCACTGATAAAATTAACCCAGTGGACTTGGACAGAATGAAGAGTGAAACATGAACCAGAGGACACATGTGTTTAAAATTAGAACAGGAAGTCTGTGCACAAATGGCTGTATGAGTATGGAACAAGCTACACAGCCATGTTACTGAAGATAATAGCCTGGTCTCCTTCATGAAATGGCTGGGTGAGATCCTTGGATTAATTAAGTAATAACTAGAAAATCGGCTATATGGACAAAATGTTCTTATAATAAAACATATAATGACTGCTTATACCTGATTTTAAGATGTTCAAGACTAAGCAATCTGTTTTCAAGTTTTGCATGGACAATTTACTCATTTGTTTTTCAACTATAGAGCATGATTCAGCTGAAGGAAAGTAGTTTATTCTTAATAATGGCAAAAAAACATAGTTTGTTTTTAAAGCAAATTACAATACAAGGAAGGTTTTGGCAAATATACCAGAAAAAAATACAATTAAGGGGAATCTCATTGAGAGTGCATCTGGTTTCTGTATCATTTTTCAATTGATTTGTTTAAACATAAACTACACTAAACCTCTTTTCCAGTTAAACTTACAATCGGAAACACTCAAGGGACAATAACATAAAATACAGACCTCAACATCAAGCTGTTTGCTGAAGTAAGCTGTTACTCAAAGTTTTCTTTTTAACCATGCTTTTAAATATAGTTTGTAATGTATGACAGTTAATGTTTATGTTTCCCTCACTGACTTCTGTGTAACAATATTTAACAAAGCCATACTACAGTATTCGATAATGGGGATATATTTAATCGCTATTGTAGTAATAGCTGATAAAATTAAGCTAATTGTGCAGCAGGAAGGACAACAAAGAAAAATATCTTAAAAATCCATATTTTCATCATTATGAAATCTGAACTGTTTTTTTCAAATTAAGCATTAAATTAAGATGTGTCTAATCTGTTCTATTAACAGCTCATATATAGTATTCAACTAATTTAAAATGAAATTAATTCTTCTACTAATTGAAATAAACGTTAAACGTTTAAAATGCCGCTGTTGTAAACTCAGGATTAAATTTTTAGTGAGACAGTATCGCCCTCTGCTGGTTGTGATATGAACATGTACTCCTATCAGATCAAGTAATAGGTTTATTCCATGCTGAAAAAAAGAAGAAAGAGAACACAACGTTTCGGCCGTGGAGCCTTCTTCAGCAAACAGCTTGATGTTAAGGTGGTTCGCCAGAGTGAGTTCCTTTGCAGCCTACGCATGCTGACGCAGCTACCCACCTGAACTACAACCTCCTATCAGATCATTACACAAAAAGCATGTGTAAAGTGATATTGTATTGGGGAAACTATAATTTCTAATCGGTTTAATTAAAATAAAAAGTAATAAAAGTAAACTAAAAATCTCAAAACGAAGGGTGAATATACAGAAATAGCTCGATCTCTTACAAAAATGAGAAAAAATCGGCTCCTGCTTTTTCTTGTGCATTTTTACCTTGAATAAGCGCGCCTTGTATTCACACTGCATGCTCTTGAAGCAAATAACCAGCCTTTAAAATATTTTTTTTAAGTTTTATAATAAGAACAGATTCCAAATACCATCTTACATATTCACGTTTGATTTATTTGGCAAGAAACATACAGACTGATCAATTCAATTAAGCGAGTGCCACTGACTACGGTGAGCAACGAATGTCAAAGTAATCTTTAAAGTAACGTATTTTTATTGTTGTTTCCTAAGTTGATTCCAGTACAGTTCAACAATGGGGAACATGGCTTTGACAATGACGCCATGGACATGAAGACAATTTTCCGGGCAGTAGGGCCAGACTTTAAGAAGAACCTAGAGGTGGAGCCCTTTGAAACTGTACATGTGTACGCACTGATGTGTCACCTGCTGCGCATTCAGCCCGAACCCAATGATGGGTCACTGGAGGTAACCCGGAACATACTGCAAACAAAAACAAATGAAGGTAAACAGCAAAACTGTAATTACTGTACACTACTGCCCACTGTATCGTCATACTTCATTCATCTGTGTCAGCGACAAGTTTCAAATCCTTGGTCCACAGAGTCTGCCTGTTCTAGTATTTCCATATGTAAAATATACAATTAAAGCCCCGATCAACATCAGCTGTTTTTTAAATGAAACGGGGCAAGGAAACCCAATTTGCACCCAGTTCCTTAGCTGGTACTGAGATAATAATATTATTATTAACATTAAAAATCCTTTTTACATTTAAGAACAAAGCTTTAGAAGAACAGATTAAAAATTAGTAAGTTGAAACCAATAACAACTTTTTTAGAAATTACCTGGATATAAATGTAATTCTATTAATCAAAGGGGGAGTAATTTGGGAAGAAGAATGCGCATCCACTATTCTTACACATCAGTTACAGTAAAAGCTACTTTGTATTCTTCCTTTAATAACACAGATATCCTTGTTTTTCCACACACATTTTAAGTAATACAACTTCGAGTTACTTAAGATGACAATTTAGAACTTTCCTTTCTAAAGGAAATAACAACAGAAGAGAAACCAAGTCAATCTGTAGGAAATGAATCCTGATCTGCAGCCCACAAACACGTTACAGTATTTGTTTCTGCCCATCTGATAAGACCGTAATCTCTCAGATGGCTGTCAGCTCAACCACTTCACACAGTTTCAGAAGTCTGAGAAAAGATAAGACAAAGGCCAATTAACCCAGACAATTAACTTTAGACTTACATATAAAACTGAATAATCTTAGTATTGTTAGGTATAAAGTTAACGATCCAATAAAGAGTAATATATAGAATTGACATGTTGCAACAAGAATTCATCAATTTATAAATTCCTTAAGAATTTCTTAACCTCAAGAACTAGCAATTCACTTTTCAGAGATGCGAACATCATAAACATTTTGCCTTGTTCCACCCTGACCATTCAATATTTTCCCTTTGTTATGCAGAAACAGTTCCAGGCTAATCTTCTTTTGGACATTTGCACCATATTGTTTTAAGCAAATAGCCTTAAATCTGTATTTAGTGGTACAAAATCTAGCCACCTAACTTTATGGATGTGCTGGGAAGAAGTTTGTGAATTGTTCCAACTTCAGGCTTTCTGAACTGAGCACTTGAATAAATGCCCCCCAAATAATAAGGTAAATACTCAGTTTAAGGTAAAAAAAGGTGTCTAAGATACCACCTTTATGTAAAAGGATACACATTTAACTGTCAGCAGATACCCTTTTAGGCACAGCTAGCACCTCTCACAGCATAATATTACCAGTTCATGTAAACTCACAAATTAATGGGAACCCAAATAAATAGCAATTATAATAAATCTCTTTAGATTCTCTATATTCTCCTAAATGGCAAAATATGTATTTTAAATGCATTAGAAAATATAATGCTATTAATGTACTTTTACTCAAAGACTCTCACTAAATAAACCTTGTTCATTTACCTCATCAAGAAAGAATTACTGTATATAAATTGTCTGGAGGACAGAGGGAAATGTTTGAACAACCCGAGATAAATCTGAATTAAGTGGCAATTATACTGTAAGATGAGACAAGGCAACCCATGTGTCTTTCAATCAGATAACTAATCATTGCTAAGTCATCTATATCTTATCTTTTTACAGCTTGATGAGTGTTTTTATGCTTTAACCAATGTTGTGAAAGGCATCTGCAATCCCAAAGAATAATGCTGTAAAACGTGTGTCATAAATGGGCACAGTAATGTATCTAATGGTCTAGAGGACATCTGTTGAAGATTGACAATGAGGACAATAAATAAGAGTTACTTCATCCCCACCACAGCTCCTACACACAGATGTATCCACACATACATTTTTATAGGTAATGTTGACTGTGCCAACATTGTCTAACCCATTCAAATAAATTAATAAATAAGCAGAAACCCTTAAAGATTTAGGATTGCTAAATGAGCACACTGGTCTGTAAACAGAGCACTTCATGAATCACATTAGGCTGGCTATTACGTTGATCTAGGAAATGCCTCAAAACAATTATTGAGCAGAGGCATTTATCCGATGAACTAATCTACTGCAGCAGAAGCAAATTTGAATGCAGAGTAAACTCATACTGTACTACTAACCCAAAACAGTAGTGATTTTAAACAGTGGTGCTACTGTCACCCAAATTTATGTTTTGATATTTACTGCTGCTAACAGGTCTTTCTATTGTTCTCCTCTCTGATGTGTCTTGAAGGCTTTGGTGTCCTGACCCAGGTATTCATTGGTTTGACTGCAGCAGCAGGGTTCCTGGTGGTGGTGTTTGTCATCATCACTGTCCACACTGTACACAAACGGAGAAAGAGCCAACACAGGTACAAACAGCAACTTTCTGCAGCTTTTGTTCTGCTAAGTTCTCTCTTTGCCTTGTCAGAAAACAAAAAAACACCACAGCTCTTTTCCTAACTATTTAGTGTATTAAAACAAAACTTGTGTTGGTTCTAACAGACAGAATATAGTTTATTGTGAATACAGAAAGCATGGTGCAGCATAAACCTTGGCTTGATGAAGAAACATAAGAATCTCATCTGAACAGGAGAAGTGATGGGGTACCCAGAATCCATCATTTAAAAAATCAAATCACTATCATAGGTCTCAACAATGCAAAAAGTACATTAATGGGAACCCACATAGATAATGGGATAAACAGACTAAAAGGTGTCTTGGCATACGCACAAGAAAGCCAATCAGTTCTTGTAAATGAGTTTCAGCTGTGACAAAGATTTATAAAGAAAATGTAGTTTCTCTTTGGGACCAGTAGCTTTCCGTGGCTTAATGCGAGTTTAGGTGTTTTGCAGAAGATGAATACTGTGGTAGTCAAAAATACTTTCAAACACAGGCTACCTTTGTTCCACTAATGCGGTGAGAAAGTCTGCAGGTTCACTTATGAGAGCAGCTAGTTTGTTCTAACAAATTTCACACAACTGTGGTGCAGAGAAGGATAGTCTGTGTGCAGGTTTGCCTCACTAGATAGCAGGTTTTCAAAGCAAGACCAGTATTTGTTGCAGGACTTCTACCGCAGACAGCAAAAAAATATTTTTTGCACTTCTTTCATTTTGTCTTTTGTGAAAACGTCTCTGGACACCATACACCGTATGAGAACGATAACATTAGTGGTGGCGGGGGGGCATTTCCTAGCTTATTACAAGATTCATTAAATCTTTTACCTTTACCTTCCTAATTCACTCCTTGTCTTTTTACTGGAACAAACAAACTCTGAAAAATTAAAAAAACAAATACCTACCCTCTAAACCCATACTTGGACATGTCCTAGAGCCACAGTGCCCATAAATTCAATTAAATTTCTCTTAACTGAGGAGTATTGGCCTGAGATGGCTGTGTTACGAACATGAAAATGCAATAATAAGAAGTTGCGACTTCTTCTTTGTATTTGATAATATGACTCATTCATAGTAACACAATCAGCAAAGCATCACATGTGCACTTTCAGTACACGTACAGGTCTTTTTCAAGAGCATTCAAAATATTCAATGACAAAACCTATCACATTAGAATTTGCCAGGTTTCCCGAGAAATACACTATATTAATACAAGCAAGTTAGATGGCCTATTATATGGCGCAAAGAAATAATTGAATTGCTTCACACGTACTGTAAGTAAAACTGTGGGGACAATGTGTTTACGGACAAAGACAATGGACACTGAAGTCAGTGCAGCTGTATACTGTACCACATTCTTTGAATCCTGTTTTTTTTTTACAGATCCAAGAAGAATGGTCTAGATGAAAAATGCCCCAAGACAAAACAATCAAGATTTTGATAGTGCTGTTTAGAATATGAAGAGTACCACATCTGACCTTGTGAACACTACTGATGAACATGCTAGCAAACTTCAGTGAGACCTCCATTTCACAACAGGACACCAAGAACAAATGTTGCCTCCTATGTACTTTATGAGTTCATAAGTTAGCTATGCCAGGTTTTACTGTATATGCTCTTGTTATCTTCTTCATCTTAGAAGCTTTGTGTTATTTAAGAACATAAGTAATTTATGCCTTGGACACAGTTGACATTTTGCATCATCATATAGAAAACCTTATGTAGATAAGGGATCACATCTTATCAAGCCAATGAAGTGTGATTCAGTCCTATTGAATAATAGCTTTAACTTATTCAGCAAAAAAAAAATCCATACAATGCCTACAATGCCTAATAATAGCATTACCTTGCAAACTGGAGGCCTTTCTAAAAACATTGAGAGGTAATATTCATGTTGGCTTTTGATAACGAAATTGCAGGCCATGGAAAGCATCACAAAACAAGCATATTATTCTTAAACAGTACAAAGAAGTGTTGTGACGGATATTTGGATGTGGGTCACTTTATTTTTATTTAATTATTTAATGTTTTTTTCTTGCAAAGCTGGCTTAACTTCAGATTCATTGAGTATCATGAACAGGAATTTTAATGAACAGAAAACCCTTTTACAAAGACAACGGATCACTCATGAAAAATGAACAAAACAATAAATGAAGAAACACGTTTTAAAAACTCCATCGACTTTCATACACAATGAAAGGCGCCACAAACCTGAATTTACTTAATTTGCTGAATCACAGACATAATTCTCTTGAATTTGTACTAATCTTGACTGCCATTTCAAAAACAAATTCTCAGGATTTTGCAAACAGAAGAAATGTTTACTACAGATTTAAAGAAAGTATCTCTTTTTTCTATTTTCTTCATACAAAACTGTAAAAAACTGAAAGCTTTTAAATAGGTTTACCTTTCATAAAGGGACAATATTAAATTAATTTTAAAACGAATCTCAGGAATATTCTAAAAAGTGGCAAGGCAAATGACATTAAACTGCTATTTTTCACATAATATTCCAACAGCAGTAAAATAAATAAAATATTTTAATTTTGCTATAAAGTGTGTGAATTAGTCTTCATTACCATGGTGCCAAAACCCATGAAGGAGTAATAATCTGTAAAGGAGCACTACAGCTTGTCATGAGAAAAGTTCATTAAGTAGTTTCTAGTGGAAAGGAATTAATAAATGCAATAAGTGATGATAAAAGTATCCGCACAGTTGTGAAAAAGTGTCATTAAACATGAGAAGGAATGACAAATTTCACATTAAATGGTCTTGTGAGCCATTGAAAATTTCTAACATGTTAATGGATACTTTAGATCACAGTAAACAGGACATAACAGATACAGTAACTACAGGATCTATAGAAGAACTGTATTTGTGAAGTATGCGGCTGAATAACACGATTGATTTTGTGTGCTCATTTCACTATATATTATAAATGCATTATACTGTAGGTGTCATGTACATGTGTAATATTACATACCTATTTAGTTTTTACGTGAATATTTTAGATGGTCTTTTATCTACCCGCTATAAAATTGGTTCTATTCAAAACTCCCATTTACTTGATAATATACAGTATCAACTTAACAGAAACAGCATTTCACATACAATAAAAAGATATTGCTTTCTATTTTAACGTTATATAACACTACAATTTTGCTGAATGCAGGAAAGAAGAAAGTTACTTTGCATCTCCGATAAACATCACGCACAGGGAAACACAAAGCAGAGCACACAAGTGGAAATCGTGTGGAGTATGGGACGAGCTACCCAGCCATGTTGTTAAAGCCGATATCCTGGTTGGCTTGATGAGATCGTCGGGTCAACTAGCTACTTACTATCAACCTAGCGGGATTACTTCTCGTTTGTTATCCTTTCTTATTGTCTTAACATAAAGAACAAGTGATCCCATTTTCACCCAGTGAGTGGCACTAAAATCAATCAAGGCTCAAGGTATTTTAACAATTATTATAGGAACTATCGGTCAACATTTGTTTTAGCTTAACTTTTGAACGCAGGAAAAGTTTTTATTGTTTACCAATCGATCTTAAAATAAGTTGTTAATTGTAAGTTACAAAACACATGCAAAACTGTTCTTAGTAGTTCCAGTAGTAGGCTTATAAATAATAATTACAATAAAACCTCGTGCATTTTTTTTTCGAATAGTTTTGTTACAAGTCACTAAACATGCTAAAAGTTCAACCAAGTAATTTGTTTTACACACGTTTTTAAAATAAATGTAAAGTCCCATAATCTGTATATTACATTAAAAATGAGTTTAAAACGCTGTGTTGCTACGTTCTTTTAATTCCGTTTTAAGTAAAGCCGTATAATTATCGGCAGCAGCGAATAACCCAAGATAGGCATATTCTTTGTGGTTCTGCTCTTGGTTGCAATTAAAAGGATTTCAAACTGCAAACAGCCCTACACTTTGAACCCAATTTAATTATGAGGCTGACCTAAAACAACATGCATGTCTATACAAGTGCGTAAAGGCAAAGGCCAAAAAGATAACCCGTCCTCTCCAAAAATCAAAATCTCTCAAATTCGATTGGCCGAATTAAAGATTTCAGGTACAGAAAAAACTACAAGAAAAACAAACAAAAAGTGACGTCTAACTCAAAACGTTTTCTACAAGGAAAACGGTACGGTGCGGGCAAAGGGACAATCTTCATGCTTGTTTTCTTTCCGCCCTCTTTTTTTCTTCTCGTTTAATGAAAGAGGTATAGTACTGCAGTAGCCATGGAGGAGTTGAGCGCCGTGGGAGAACAGGTTTTTGATGCTGAATGCATCCTTAACAAAAGGCTCAGAAAGGTTAGAATTCGGCGAAGACGATACTTCAGATTCGAAAATATTGGCTCGAAGAAGGATTGCGGTGATCCGCTGACATTTTCACTCTTTATTTTTGCAGGGAAAGTTGGAGTATCTGGTGAAGTGGAGGGGGTGGTCATCTAAGTAAGTGCTCGCTGCTAGAGGCTCGAACAATGAAAACAACAACAACGTGTCGCTTGTTGCTCCTCCAGAGCTCTAAGTTGCTTCTCGTTGTAAAAGACTTTGTCTAGATGAGCAGTAGAAAAACATTGCAAGACAAAAAAAGATCTCACGATGTGTTTCTGTAGTTAGATTTTCATTAAAGCTGTGAGCACAAGTTTAAGCTAGAACCGTAAAAAAGTAACCGCTCATTCAACAAAACACGAACACAACTGGTCTGCATTTGAGCTTTTTCTAACCAAATAAGTACCTCCAGTTAAATCAACAATTCTACTTCGATTGCGCCGTATTTGTCCTATATTATGTTTAATCTTTTAAGGTCTTTTTGAAATGCGTTTTGAGGCATTTTATTGATCGAACTGGACTGTCTTGGTTGTTGTTTTGTCAATAATGTATAAGTTAAAATAGTGCTGTCTGTATATTTAGCTTTTCTTTATCTAAAATTCGCTATTTTTTATTACGTCTCGTGTGATAAACTGAATTTATTTCTGGAGGGAAAACGCAGAGTTGATTTGAATAAAAACCGTTATTGATGGCAATACGTATATACAATATCTATGCCTGAGCTCTTGCACATGCCCCAGCATGAACAATTCCGATTTAAATGTTTGTTAATCGGATTTGTATATTTTTACCCTCTCGATCTAAATGTCGTGCACCTTATTAACAATGTTATAATGGGAGAAAAATATATACACTCTTTGGGGGGGGGGCGGGGGAACGAGTTGATATTCTAGAGAAAGCAAATTAAAAATGTTGTACTTAAGGAACACTGTCCAATATTGCAGACGCAGCTGCCCTACCAAATCTCTCTGGGCTTTCTTTACTTGTGCATGTTCCCATTTCACTGCCCTGTCCCCCTCATCTATTCTCTCACATTGTTGCTGCTAATCCTCCATCGATGGGACCTTGCCCCTCTATTCACTTCGAGGTGTAGCCTTCCTCTTTCTTACGTGTTCCGTTTCCTCTGCAGTAATACCGTGTTACTGGATCTGAGAGTGATCAATGTGATCTGATCAGTTTTAATGTTCATCTGATGTGTTTTTCCATGACATCTTTTGTTCAGATTTTAATTCGGTTGCATGCCACCTTTGATATAAAGTATCAAATTTCGTAAGGATTAACCAACAATTTAACTTTAATGTGAATGGGAGTTTTTTGTGCGTTTGTGAAATGCTAGTCACTTTGAAGCTCTGCTTCCCTCTTGTTTAAAGTTTTAATCTGACGTTCAATCCAGTGGGTCTGTTTGTTCCTGTTGAATCCCTGTTGTGTTACTTCGTTCTTGCTTTCTCATGTAAACACTTTAATATTAGTTTAGATTTATGTTCAAATAAATAATGAGAGTTATGAGAAGCGAGTAACATCATGAAGTTTAAGCAGTGAATATACACCTGCCCTTTCTCTTTATATTTACACTTTATTATTCAAATATAATAAAAAGTTCATCCTAACAGAACACTTAAAACCAAAATACATTCTAATTAACTAACATATGTAATCTAGACGTAAAATGTCTAGACATCTGTATTATGTGTAACATGTTTTATATAACATCTGTTTTATGTTTAAAAAAATAACTTAATTTAGGTAAAATATAAAGTGACCGTAAAGTAGTATTTCATTGGTAATACTTACTCATTGGTAATACATTAAAAACAATATTCTTAATAAAAAAACAAATGATTTTTAAAGTCTCAGTTTAAGATGATCATTATTTTTTATGTATAATGGTTGGTAGACTGTTCATACAGAAATTTCTTGCTCTGTATCACAGTTCTGTAATTACATTACAGCTATAGTTTTCCTTTGCTCATTTGCATAGCAAGTGCAGTGAAGACTATTCGTTTATATTAACTGCAGTGAAGCCAAGTCAAAATGAAAGTGTGTGGGTTTTATAGACTTAAAACTCACCACCTTCTCTTGGTTCAGAGTTTCCCTTTGATGTGATGTTGTAAATCTAGCCTTTTATAGCTCTTTGAATACTAAAAAAATCTTGTTGGCGATGACGTTAGAATTTCATTTTAAAGTTTCAAAGTAAGAATTGTAATGCATAGACACTCATTAATCTGGGATTACACTGTAAAAATAGCACTAAAGACATTGCACAAATCAGAGTTAAGAGGTAAACTTGTTACTAAAACTGGGCAACTAACAAAGCTCAGTCAGGAATGTATCAAAGAATTCCAATTCTTTGGCAGTCAGAGTATTCAAATATTTAATTTACAGTGCTGACATTTACAATTTCCGTCTTTCGGATGAGACGTTAAACCGAGGTCCTGACTCTTAGTGGTCATTAAAGACCCCCGGGCATTTCTTGATAAGAGTAGGGAGTTATCCGGGTGTCCGGCCCAAATCCCCCCCCCCCCTCGGCCTTTACCGTGGCCTCCAAATTGTCCTCATGTATGATTGGCTTGCACTTGCCCTGCGATCGACTGGCGCCCCTTCCCTGCCTTGCGCTCGTTGCTTACTGGGTAGGCTCCAGCTTCTCGCGTATGGTATGAAGCGGTTTGGCAAAGGACATGACATTTACAATTTTAAGTTACAACCAAATGACCCAAGACCCTCCCTCCACACACACAAATACATTAAATTACAATTTTTTGGAGCACTTCTTTATCAGACATATTTTATTATTATAGTGTCACTGGATTTCATGACTGGAAGTTTTTTTTTTTAATTTATTTCAGACACAATAGCTGGGAGCCTGAGGAGAACATCCTTGATCCAAGACTGCTGGCTGCATTTCATAAGAGGTGAGTAACTGCTGGAGCTTCAAAGCAAGGGGTCTGTGCCATAGAGCTATTAAACATCTTTTGTATAAACAAATGTACAGGAAAGCTGTGCCCTGTAGTGAAAGACAATAAAGATGGAGTAGCATCCAATTCATCGTTAATGGTTTAATATATCATTTTGGATATTTTTTTCTCTTCTGCGAATAACCAGGTAGTTTAAATACCAGGTCCAGATTTCTCCACAATTTAAATACCGAGAACAATTTCTCCCTGGCAGAAAGTTCAGACTGCTTTGACTTTCACTATATGATTTACAGGGAGTGCCATGGGACTGACCTGGCAATGGTATGAATTGGCAGCGTATGCAATGCAACACAAGATTTTGAGTAATTGTTATTTTCACCACCCTTCAAGGATTGTTTAAATGCAACATTGTGTTCTGTACCATTGTACAAATATGCTGCTGCGTCCTCATACTTGGAGTTACTTTAACGTGTAATGTTTAGGTTATGAAACTTTTTTTCTTCCACTGCATCTGCTGTAGAACAAATGATGACATGTTTCAAAACAATGCCTGAAATCAAATAGTGGAATTGACTTTGCTATGTAAAAGCTTTGTTTAGATACTGTAGGTGTAAGTAAATATCTTGTTTTACATGTAACATGGACAATGTTAGTGAACAGGAAGAGAAAAAAAACATAAAACAGATTACAATTGGCAACGATTTATGATTGTATAATCTGGTTCTCTGTTTATGGTTATTTACCAGTTACTCTGAAGAGCACTGCAGGTAGTTTTTAATTTAACTGCGAGATATTTCACAACATTATGACACAGAGTCTTAATTCTGATACACAGAATTGGTCACTCAATGCTGATTATCGCTGGTCACGTTATGTTAGGGCCTATGTAATATGGCTTAAACACATAGATCTCCACAAGTTACCTGTTTCTTTGTGAAAAAACTAAAGTTGCACAGTTGTAAAACAAACTGTGCAAGACTAGATGTGATTTCAAGTGGAAAAGGTGAAGGCGGTGATACAGGAAAAGGGCTTTTAGAAAACTATGAAAGTAGTGGCTGAACTACCCACAATATGAAACATGGAGGGGTATATTTTTCCTACTCTAATTTTTTTTCTCCATTGCACACAGGAAACCTAATCATACACACAAAAGCAGCGTGGGTATTTAAAGAATTAGTTTCCTGAGGGTTGCATTTGCTATTCCCTGTGTGGGTTTAAATTTTTTTGTTTACGTAATAGAAAGTTAGTTCTGCTTTGAGGCTTGAATTTTGATTAAATAGAAAAAAAACTGTTAATGTCAATAATTTATCCCCTGTGCCAAACATAACCAGTACCTTTTGTCAGTACTTCTTGATCTCAGTCTAAACTGACAGCTGTTGCTCCTTTTAAAAAGAGTACCTGTTTATAGTGAATGTCTTTTCTTCATCACCAGGGAACAGGAAAAGGAAATTTTATTCCGCAAAAGAGGAAAAAGGCCCAGGGGAAGGCCACGGAAAAACATGGTGAGTATAATTTATTTCTGACATTAGGGACAGTCTCGACAACCTAAATATCTAGTGGATTTGAATAGGATGTAACCACAGACATCCTGCGGAGGACTTAAAATGGAGAACTTAAAATGATAAAGTAACTTGGCTCATTTGCTCAATTCCTCAAAGGCAAATTAGTGAAACTGAGGTTTAGGGGTAAGATTAAGTTTACAAGTAATATCTGTATTAGGCCATTACGAAATAATAAAGATGTTCAAACAAGTTCAAATTCCTGAGTCCATTCTAATCAGATGGAGTGTCCTACCAGGATTTCTAATGAGTGTCCCCTCGCCTGTCTTGTATGGTTTAGGAAACATCGGCTCCTGTAGTAGCAAAATCAAGCAGCTCTTCCTCATCATCATCTTCATCAAGTTCGTCTTCGTCCTCTTCCTCTTCGTCCTCTTCGACGTCCTCCTCCGATGAAGACAATGACCCCGAGACAAAGCCGGGTCCGCGGAGCCGTGAACTCCACCCAGTGCCACAGAAGAAAGCTCAGATACTTGTTGCAAAGCCAGAGCCAGTGAAGAAGAAAAGAGGAAGGAAAGCCCTCCCCCCAGAGCTGAAGGCACTTAGACAGAGCAAGAGTCCCCGCAAGGCTTTAAAGACAGCCGCTAAAGACTCTCCTGTCGAGCCAAAAGTTGGCATCAAGAAGCCACTTCAGCCAGCTAGCTTCACTTACACAGGATTGAGCAGAGGTACAAGGGACTTTATCTCTGGCAGTTCTCAAGGCGGGGGCTCTTTCACACAAGGCAGCTCTGTGAAAAGCTCTTTGAATACAACTGGAGCCAACCGGCCTGTGGCCACAGCCAGCCCTTCCCTTGGCAGACTGGCTACAAACAAGAATGCTTCAGACTTCAAACTGTCTGTTTCTGACGTAGGTAGTAGCGCAGGGTTAGACTCGAAAAGTGCTGCCTCCAAGTCCTCTGGAGTTGCAGCACTTAATTTACACAATTCAAAACTATCCAGCAGCAATCAGGGTGCCCCCCAGACGCCTCTCGGATCTCCAAATGGGCAGAAGAAGCAAGAGGGGCCTGGGCAGAATCCCGTGGCACGGCTCTCGAGCAGCAAGCCAGCTGCTGTACCCTCCCCTTCGAAAGGCAGCACCAACCAGGCACTAAGCCTGCAGGCACTAAACCTACAGAGTGTGAACAAGACGGCACAGAGCAGCACCCCCTCAGGGAATGGCACCACTCAGGGATCAAGCCTGAAGAACACAGGAAGTCCAATCAGAAAAACTATGGGTAGTACCGCTCGGCATACGAACAGCTCAGGACAAAATGTCCCAACTACAGGGAACCAGCATCCTGTACCAAGAAACAGCCAACCTGGAGGAGATGCTGGAAAGCTTGAAGAAAACAGTAACAAGGGTCCAGTTGAAGGTGAAAAGCAGAACAAAAGGACTGGGAAAGTGGAAAAGAGCTTTTCTCAGAATAACCAGTCAGCAGATGGTGGAAGCAACAAGCCAAGGCAAGAGAGGACATCTTCGAAGGACAGCAGCAAACCTACAAAGGTCCTGAGCGAGATGAGCACTGGGGAGGATGAGACCAGTTCCGACTCAGACCAGGATTCCCACTTCTCCAGTAACAGGCAGAACATGTCCATTGCTGTGCAGACCAGCCAGGACTGGAAGCCCACACGCAGCCTGATTGAGCATGTCTTCGTCACTGATGTCACAGCTAACTTGGTCACTGTGACAGTCAAGGAGTCCCCAACCAGTGTTGGGTTTTTTAACATCCGGCATTACTGAATATGCTGATTGGCACCTCTTCACCATTGTCTTTATTAAACTGGAAATACCCTACCTAGGCATGGGGACGTTAAGCAAGAACAGAACATGAATTTAGGGGAGGAGATAAGCTATAAGGTCAGAATAGAAGAGGCCTTTTGACCCACCTAGCCTGTTTGCTGTAGTGGTGACAAATCTAAGTATTAATAATTTTATTTGTGAGCTTTTCCATCTTGTGCTTTGCACTTTTTGTTTATAGTATTCATCTCTTCATCCTTTTTACTGATAGAGAACAAAGGGAAATTAAGAATCAAATTCTTTTTCCAAGGCAGACCTGTAGTTCCCAAAAGTCCTTCTTTGATACATTTTTGAGAATTCCCAGAAATGCTTAAAACATTTTTCTGTGTTGTGATCTCAACTGTATTCAGATGTTTCAGAAGTAATTAAGGTTCCTTTTCCAATTATTCTAGATATTTTTCTTCCAAATGTCTTTTAATACTGCTCTTTCCTAAAATCCCTTAGTTTTTAAGCTTATATATGCTCTTCCCGCTGTTTGTAATGATTCAAAAGGAAATTACACCAGCCCAAAAAGTTTGCAAATAATTTTAAAACTCAAATTAATTGATTAAAAAACACTACTAACCTGAAGTAGTAACCTTAATAATTAAATCTAAATACATTGCGATGGCTTGTAGGTTACATGCAAACATTTTTTAAAACTTTGTAAAACAGGCAAATGTTCTACAGAATGTTTATAAAGTGCATTTTTCTGGAAGAGTCAGTTGCTTCTAACTTTTGCATATTCCCGATTTTTTGTTCTTTCTGCTGGAAAGACAGTTTGACCACAGGCTTAAAGGTTTGTGTTGATCTGATAGGTTACATTTAGAAATGGCCAGATTTTCAGATGATGTTTTCAATTTAGAAATGTGTGTGTTTGTAGGAGTCCTTGAAAGCCTGGATTCACCTGCAGCTCTTCTTGAAAACACCTTATCCTGATGACCAATGTTACTACAGAAATCCTGGACCCAGTATATCTGATTAAAATCTTCCAAATCCTAAAAAATCATGAATGAATTAGAAAACGAAACAAACATGTACAAATCATTTTATGCAAATTCCAGTCTGCTTCCAAAACCCTGTGTAAACCTGAACCTTGAAATATATGCATCTATACCTTTGTGTCACTATTACACAGTTTACGTGAACTTTTTATGCTTTATTCCTTGGGTCTGTAAGTAAACAAAAGCTCTTCAATCTATCCTGACAAAGTGATACTTCTTTCAAACATGTGACAAGATAAGGAACCCGTTTATTCTTGAAGTAGTCTTGGAATAGAATGAAATGTCTGGTAACTACTTGATTTCAAATTTCTGTGAGACTATCACGTTTCTCATCAGCCCTGGATGATGTTTTTTCTCAGATTTGGGGGCATTTGTTCGTTCCAGAACTTGCCTTTTACACCCCAGGGACCACCATTATTGTCTTATAACTGGTAATATTTAAACTGAACAAGAGCACAAACTTCTCAGAGTATTTGAAGCAGTGGTTTTGTTCTTGTCGTGTGATGGTGGTGTTGAAAACGTTTTCTAGATCAGACTGCTGTACCAATGAACGAAATGTTGGTGGTTAAGTCTAAAACACAACCAAACCAACAAACAAGATTACCAAAAACTTGATTGGTTTTATATGTCCTCTGTCTTCACGAGTTTCACAAATATTAGCATAACCCTGGAGAAACAGCATTGCTGGAAATATTTGTCAAAGCAATGCATTAGTTACCTATTCTCTACACTCTTATTTAAAGGCAAGGAAGGACATTGACTACCAATCGCTTGTTTGTTTACCTATTCAAGGTGCTTTACAACTCAGTCTTGCTGGATACTTTCCTCATTATTCCTGCAAAAGTGGAAAGGTCACATGGGCATTCTAAAGAACAGTGGGACTACAAAGAAAATCTCTTGATACAAAACAAAATGCATGTCTTTTCCTTTCCTAACTGTGGTGAAAGGCCATTAGAGACTTTTTTATTGCAAAGTTTGAAATGGTGTGAACTTTGTTCTCACATACATACTGTACACAAGGATACAGTGTATCTGCTACACTGGAGGATATGTGGAATATTTGGAAAAGGGAAATGTCAGGGGAAACTGAACACCTTTGGCAGACTGTGGGATTTTTTAAATGTGAACAATCCATTTGAGCTTAAAACGCAACAAAATGCTAAACAGGTATACATTTCAATGGACCTTCAATGTTACTATCATTTTGCATGACAAACTTTTGTTAAGTGCTTTTTGGCACTTCCTTTCCATACTTAATGTATTAGCAAGCTTTTGTAAAGCAAATTATGTTGAACAGTTCATGAAATCTCTCACATAAACACACTTTCTGTAAGCATCTGTCTCAAAATGTGATTTACCTTTTAAGTTTAAAATAATTGAGACAGAAGTGCAGAAAAAATAATGGCTGGATAAGTTAAAGGAGTGGACAGATGCAGCATTTAAATGACAGCAGAATTAGAAAAGAGAGATTTCTTAACTGTCTCCTCATAATTCTTCATGACCAAAATTTTCTGCACAAATGTGTAACATTAGTACTGTAATATATACTAAATCCTGTTTCTAGGCCAAACAGGGAAATAAAAAATGTACAGTGTTGTATTTTTTTATGTTGACACAATGGCCTTTTACTCTATTGACATGATGTAATCAGTGAGGTGCATTGTAGACATGTGCCTTGATTATGAAGAAAATGTGTATGCATGTCATATAAAGCACCTATAGTAAATCACAATTTAGAAGGTTACAAATAGATTAGGATTATTACTATCAGTATTGGTATAAGGCTGTTAAAATAGATTTGTTTGTCTTTTTACGTGCTATAAGGAGCATACAGTTGGGATTGATGTGATGTAGATGGAGGAGCTTTACAGAATTTGTGCATGAAAGAGAAATTACTTTGAATGTGAATGCTTGTGTGAACAATTTAGCATTGTTAGAACAGCTTGCTATTCTTCAGCGATTGCAAGCAAACTATCTCAAATTTGATAAGGGGATTGAAGCTGCAGTCAGTCAATCAGGCCCTATTTTGTATTTCATCTCTGCTACACACTGAAGGACAGTGTTACTGAAAACAGCATTTAGAAAAAGTCATGTATTAAATGCAGTTGTAAAGTGTATATATGGGGTGGGGGATAGTAATGGAAAACAATAGAATTGATTACAAAAATCCAGAACCATTCATTCAGGAGAACGATGTGACTGAATCGCTGTTTATAAAAGTAGATAAAGTTAGCTGTCTTTCATACATTAAGTAATTGGTTGAACAGAAAAATCATAAAAAAGAACACAGAAAACAGCCTCTGCACCACAATTCAGCTGACACCTCTTGAAAGATAAGTCTATGTTCAAGTGTGTATCATCTTGAGTTCTGTGTACAGAATGTAACCAGTTTTACAGTGATGCACCAGCTAATGATAAGTAGCAGACTATAGAATATTAGTCTTTCTGCTGCTCACGAGTGGGGAAAGAGTGATGCAGGAAATGCGTTGAACTCATCTAGCTACAATTTCTTTATTCTGTCGAAAAGTAATCTGACAGCCTCAATGCAAAGCAGAGTAAGGAAATGATGCCATTCCATTTCTTGTCAGAGAATCGAGTTTTTGCCAGCAGGCACTCGGAAAGTGATGATGTCTTTACTTAGCTGTAAATACAGATGTGACAATAGGCTTTGGAGTCAGCAAACCTTACATATGTACAACAGATATGCTGACTACCAGGTTTGATGAGCTTTTACATTTCTTGAAAGTCCATGTATGGATAAATGTATAAAACTGGAAAAGTATTATTACAGTTCTGACAAACTGAACACAAAGCAGAGTTGCTTCACCATCTATCCTAAGGGGTGGTGTTAATATTTTTTAGGAGATACAGATCACTTTGCTCCTTGTTGCTTTACCATAAGGGCACTCAGGAGATCTGAAACTCAGCAGCAGGTCTTCAATTTGCAGTTGGTGAAACTGTAATAACCAACGAAGATGTAGAAAGTAGGAATGTTTGTTTAGGGTTTTGGATTTTAAAATAAAACTGGGACTGTAGCAAAATCTTTGCAAATGTGGGCTTGGTGCAAAGGTTGTTATTCTGGTCGACCCGCTATCTCATACATGTACAGTAGGAAGGGCAAAAGAGCGAGAACATCAGTATAACCTGAACCACAGAAACTGTGAAACGTTGCTTATATGAGCTGCAGGAGTTCTGGATGCATAATCACCTAAGCCTGCAAAGAGACTGGAGTTATAAATCTGCAGGTCTGATAGATGTTTCAGTTCACGTTTGTACCTGCCTTTTCTAGAGGTGCTTCTTCTCCATTAAGTTTATGTTTAGAGTGAAGACTGTATCTAGACACTATTTATTTGAAAATGAATAGCAAGGTGCTTCAGGTCTTTTTATTGTTCAATATTTTTATTAACCTTAATAAATAGTACTTTCATAAGTGGGTTTCTCTCTTTGTGTGATTTAAAGTGTGCTGTGTTGTAACATCTGCTCATATTAATAGGTATTCTAGTATTAAGTCTGAGGTCACATTGAATTGCAGATATCAGTTTGACAATGCATATTTTATAACCCCCCCCATTACCTTAAAATGCATGTTTCATTATTATCACTTATCAGAATGTTCATATACATGGGACTTTGCCAAGCCATAACTTTTTATGCAGGCTACTTAGTAAAAATGAATATATTACAGCCTGAAGTATGACATTTTACGTGTTGTTCGTATGGTCAGCAAAATTGTCCTAAGTCAAATAAAATACTAGACCGCAAAGTGGGAATGGAAGACATGATACCAGTGGTTTTCAAACTATTAGAATATATTAATATAAATCTACTTTTTCTCACCCCTACCCAAGAATCTGAAAATAGTTTCTGTACATCAGATTATTCTTTACATCAACTACTCTAATCTCAAAATTAGTGCTAACCTGATCTATGAAACTAGTGCATGATTTTGCTTTCGTGTACACAGTGCTGTGCGTGTTCAGACACAAAACCAATGACATACTGCTGGATTCACAAAACTTAAAGGAACAACACCTTATTTAAAAGATCATGACTGCCCCAGTGAGAGAACATGACAGCTGACAAATTAAGCACCATTATTTTTTTTTATTTGAAAACTCTTGACAAGTGGAAAAAATACTTGGTTTACATATATAAGAGATGGATAATTTACACCACATGGTTTTTATGTAAACAAATAATTTGCAATAAAAAACTTTAAAATATTTCACATTCCTCACATTATTCAGACAGATACAGAATGATCAGAAATTGTATCAACATGCATCTTTAACATTGCATGTCTTCTTCTGCATGCTTTGTTTGCATTCAGAATGCTTTGTTTTATTTTAATTAATTATATACAATTTAAAGCTGGGTACCTGCAGTTACATGATACTGAAAAG